CAATCCACCCTAACCTGCACATCCCTGGGCACTATGGGTAATTTAGCACTGTCAATCCACACTAATCTGCACATCCCTGGGCACTATGGGTAATTTAGCAAGGCCAATCCACCCTAACCTGCACATCCCTGGGCACTATGGGTAATTTAGCCCGGCCAATCCACCCTAACCTACACATCCCTGGGCACTATGGGTAATTTAGCACGGCCAGTTCACCCTAACCTGCACATCCCTGGACACTATGGGTAATTTAGCACGGCCAGTTCACCCTAACCTGCACGTCTTTGGACTGTGGGAGGAAACCGGAGCACCCGGAGGAAGCCCACACAGATATGGGGGAGAACATGCAAACTCCACACAGACAGTCACCCCGAGGGTGGGATTGAACCCAGGTCCCTGGTGCAATGAGGCAGCAGCACTAACCACTGAGCCCTACCATGCAGTGTGACTGGAGTCCTGACAGGGAGAGACATAGAGGCTAAACGAGAGAGAGAGAGAGAAAGAGAAACAGAGAGAGAGAGAGAGAGAGATAGAAAGAGAGAGAGAGAGAAAGGAACAGGGGGCAACATTTTAAAATGAAGGGCAAGAGGTTTAGAGGGGATTTAAGGAAAATATTTTTCACCCAGATGGTGATGAGGGTGTAGAACGCGTTGCCTGGGAAAGGAGTTGGGGCAGGAAACCTCACAACATTAAAAAGGACTTGGGTGAGCACTTGAAATTTCATAACAAAGCCCTGGGCCTAGTGCGGGACACTGGGATTGACCTAGATGGTGGGGGAAGTGGTCCTGGGCGAGATGGGGCAATTGGACAGTGGTCAACTTAGCCCGTAGGTGGGAGAAGGAGAGAGAGCATTTCACAGAGCGTTGGACAGGGATGGAAAGCGATGGCCTAGTGGTATTATCGCTGGATGGTTAATCCAGAGACCCAGCTAATGTTGTGGGGATCCGGGTTCGAATCCCGCCACGGCAAATGGTGGAATTAGAATCCAATAAAATATCTGGAATTAAGAATCTAATGATGACTGGGAATCCATTGTTGATTGTTGGGAAAAACACATCTGGTTCACTAATGCCCCTTCGGGAAGGAAACTGCCATCCTTACCTGGTCTGGGCCTACATGACTTCCTTCTGGGCAATTAAGGATATGCAATAAATGCTGGCTTAGCCAGCGAATCCTGAGAATGAATAAATTAAGTACAGACTCAGTTGGCCAAAGGGTGTCTTCTGGACTGTATGTGATCTTCAGGCGATAGAGAGTGTTGATCAGGGTACTGCTGTTGATGTGGAGTGGTGTCTCATATAGTTCCACGTGGAATAGAATTTAGGAGGCATGGTTAGTAAGCTTACAGATGAGCCCAAGGTTGGTGGGACAGTGGATGGTGAAGAAGGTTAGCTAAGATTACAGAGAGGTCTTGATCAATTGGGTCAATGGGGCTGAGGAGTGGCAGATGGAGTTTAATCTGGATAAATGCGAGGTGTTGCATTTTGGTAAAACAAACAAGAGCAGGACTTACACAATTAAAAGTAGGGTCTTGGGTAGTGCTGTAGAACAGAGAGACCTAGGGGTTCAGGTACATAATTCTTTGAAGTTTGTGTCACATGTAGACAGGGTGGTTAAGAAGGCGTTTAGCACGCTTGCCTTCATCGCTCAGACCTTTGAGTACAGGAGTCGGGGACGTCATGTTGAGGCTGTACAGTTCGTTGGTGAGGCCTCTTCTGGTCGCCCTGTTATAGGAAGGGCGCTTTTAAACTGGAGAGGGCTCAGAAGAGATTTACCAGGACGTTGCTGGGAACGGAAGGTTTGAACTATGAGGATGAGGAGGCTGGGGATGTTTTCCCTGGAGTGTCAGAGGTTGAGGGGTGACCTTATAGAGGTTTATAAAATCATGAGGGGCATGGATAGGGTGAATAGACAATGTCGTTTTCCCCAGGGTAGGGGAATCCAAAACTAGAGGGGCATAGGTTTAAGGTGAGAGGGGAAATTTAAAAGGGACCTGAGGGGTAACTTTTTCACACAGAGGGTGGTGCGTATATGGAACGAGCTGCCAGAGGAAGTGGTGGAGGCTGGTACAATTACAACATTTAAAAGGCATCTGGATGGGGACGTGAATAGGAAGGGTTTGGAGGGATAGGGGCCAAATGCTGGCAAATGGGGCTAGATTAATTTGGAATATCTGGTTGGCATGGACGAGCTGTGCCGAAGGGTCTGTTTCCGTGCTGTATGACTCTGACTCATAGGACCAAAACATGCACGCGCACACACACACACACACACACACACACACACTCGGAAATATTGAAAGGAACGCATTACCTCAGGGTGTGTGGGCTCGTTGTTCCAGACAACCACCTCTTTGTGCATCGTGACGACGTAGGAAGCCAAAGTTGTGGTGGTGCCCGCTCCAGCTTCCACGGGCTCGTAGTCCATGGGCACAGCCGGGCGGTGGGGGCTCTCTTTGTCCTCCTCCTCCTCCACTGCTGACCCTACGCTGCCTGGCACGGTGCTGATGGGCACGAAGGCCCGGTTCTGGTGCCAGACGTCGCTCTGCAGGAAGGTGACCTCTGCAGGATCCACCACCACCTCATCAGGACTGGCATTGCTCCCCGGCTCCCCATCACCGAGGGAGGATGCCAAAGGGCTGTCGCTGGGTCCTGGCTCTGGCTCTGGTTCCTCGGGCCCCCGGGGGAGCAGCACCGCCGTCATCCACGGGGGGGACCCCTCACTCACTGAGGGACTGGCACTGCCTGATCCAACGGACCCCTCGCGCTCCGAGCCCCAGCCACCTGATCCTTCACCGACCCCCGGGCTTCCTGGGTCGACCGGGTCTCCTGGGCTCACCGCTCTACCCCCATCGGGAATCTCCGGGGCCGGGAACAGGCTGGACTCGGAATGGGGCTCAGCACCAAGCATCCACTCCCCCAAACGTTGGCACGGGCTGGGGAGCTGGGGGTCAGAGGTGGTTGGATCTTCAGTGCCCGCTGCCCCCTCAGGGACGGCCCAGTCGGACGCTGATCCACTCGGATCCCAGATGCTCACAAAGTCAAAGTATTCCATCACACGGTGTTTGGGGGGGGGCAATGCCAAATAGCCAAGGATCAGACAGCGGGGGGCAGGAGGCGATCTCAGTTCCCTCCTGGGGGGCAGATTCTTGCCATGGCAACCTGCCAAATAATGAGAGAGAGAGAGTTAGAGTGAGAAAAGATTAACAGAACATGTGTGTTAGTGTGTGTGTGTGATGGCGCGCGACGGAGGGAGTGCGAGGGAGGGCGCGC